CACCAACACCACGTGGCGCAGTGATACAGGAGGGCACCAGGGGCGGGACCACCAACACCACGTGGCGCAGTGATGCAGGAGGGCACCAGGGGCGGGACCACCACTACCACGTGGCGCAGTGATACAGGAGGGCACCAGGGGCAGGACCACCAACACCACGTGGTGCAGTGATGCAGGAGGGCACCAGGGGCGGGACCACCAACACCACGTGGCGCAGTGATGCAGGAGGGCACCAGGGGCTGGACCACCAACACCACGTGGCGCAGTGATGCAGGAGGGCACCAGGGGCTGGACTGCCACCACCACACGGCAGTGCAGCGCTGCAGGAGGGCACCAGTCTCACCCTAGGCGGTCTGGCTCCAAGGAAGCAAAGAACTCACGTGTGCAGTTTTCTCCAAGGGGCTCGGCTACTGTTAGCACAGCTGTGGGACCAGACTGGGGCCTTGGCTTCCGGGCCTGTTTCCACTTGACCCCAGGGTGGTAGTGCTTACCCACCTGCTCACTGGTGTCCGTGTGACACCTACTGTGCGCCAGCACTGCATCCTGGAACAGAAACTGGCAGATGCCCCAAGTCCACACCCTGAGAGCCCAGGGCACTCACTTCCAGCTCCTGACCATTGAGTTTGCCCCACGCCAGTCCGTGTGTCAGCTCCCACTGCCACTGGGATAAGCCGAAGGCTCAGAGGTCCCCGCTGCTGCAGTCCCCAGAGTGGGCCGTCCTCTTCCCAGTGTCCCTGCGGGCACCTGCAGTCACAGGGCTCCACTGGCCTCGTCTCCCCACATTCATAAACCCAGAACGGAGCCCTGTGAGCTCGTGCAGGAGGCGGGCGCTCTCCGGGCCTCCGTTCCAGGATGCAGCGCTGGCACACAGCAGGTGCTCATGCAGATACCAACGAGCAGGGCGTGCTATCCCTGGGGGCAGGGCAGGGGTTCAGGGAGGTCTTCAGAGGACCCCTCTGCAGCATCTTTACAACTTCACGTCAAATCAAAAGTCGAAATGTGCTGAGGATGGATGCAGCTTTCAGCTCCAGTGATGGGCCGTCTGACACTTCCGCTGCTGAGGAGGCAGCGGCGCTTTGAAGACACCCATTCTCCAGAGTCAGGCAGCTGGCCAGGCCCCACCCGAGACTAGGCACTGTTGTCGAACGGTGGATCTGGGCTCAAGTCCAGGCCCTAAGACCTACTAGGAGAGGGGCCGGCAGGTGGCATGGTGGTTGAGGAGCTGGACACTCTCGCATGGACAACCACAATTCAAGTCCCAGACCTGATGGCTTGCTTCCTCACTTTCACTCTCCCTCTCTCTCTCCTTGGTCAAATTAAAATAAATGAATGAATAAATAAAATTCAATAAATAATTCTTCAAAAAACAACAACAACAACTTACTACCACAGTTTGAGTCCCAGACCTGATGGCTTACTTTCTTGCTTTCTGTCTCTGGTCAAATTTAAAACAACAAATAAATAAAGTTAAAGAAAGAATTCTTTTTTTAAAAAAAATTACTATGGGAGATGTGCACTCACCCGAAAAAGACAGAGGGAAAGTGAGAAAGCAACCCCCCAGGAGGATGGCCATGCCACAATCCCCTCTCCCTTCTCTTGGGCTTTTGGGCTCTCACACATGTGCCCAGTGGTTTTCAAGCTGTGGGTAATGGGACTTGAACCATGCCATCAGTTATGTGCGATCCAACTGCCTTAGCCACCATGCCATTGGCTGGCTCCATTCCTGTATTTAAAAATGCAGGTGAAGGGACCAGCAGATGGCCTAATGGTTACGTCACCGGACTCTCATGTAGTCCACTGTGGCTAAAGTCCTGGACCTAGTGGCTTAAAAACTTAGACCGGGCATGTGTGTCCAAGATCCCAATGGGAGAATGGAGAAGGGATTGTGGTGTGGCCATCCCCCAGTGGGTGATTTATCACTTTATGTCTCTGTCTGTCTCTAGGGAGTGTACGCACTCTATAGCAAAAATCTCTCTAAAACAAAAGTTAAAACATGAAGGAGCAACCACGCAGCAGCTGCGAGCCATTAACTCTGTGAGCACAGCCTGCCAAGAGCGTCTGTTGCCCACGGGCACCGGATGCAGGGCAAGGGTGGCTGGCGTACCCCTCTGCTGGGCTGGCACTGCCTTTCACAACTGCCCGCGGTCTGCGCTCCCTGGAGACCAGGGTTCTGACTGGAGGCTGGCCTGCGGCGGGCCCCACACTGCCATTCCATGAGACCGTGGCGGCCTCTGGATCGGTAGTCCCAGTGACAACCCAGAACCCTCCACTGACAGCGCTTTCCAGACCTAGCCTGCCACCTGAGAAGTTGAAGCGGTGGCCCACTTTACTGATCAGGCGCTGGTCATTGGGGGAGGCAGGTTTCCGGATGGAGTGTGTGCTGGGGCTGAGGGTCGGCTCCACCCTGCCCTGCCCTACCCCAGCCCGAGAGGGCCAAGACCACCATCCTCACCACCGGGTACAGGAAGCACTTTTCCCTCGCTGTGTGCAAGGACAGTCACTGGAGTGAAGCACCCACTTAGCGACGGGCACGAACACCAGAAACGGCGGTGGAGATAGCGTGAAGGCCGGAGTGGTTTTTCTAACCAAAGCTGAGGCAGGGCTCTCCAGGCGGAGGGAAAATACCTCTCAGCTCTCACTGAGAAGTGGCAGGATGGAGAAGTTGAAGGTGCATTTGGACAGCCTGGATCGAATCCCAGCGGTTCCACTGGGCCTGCGGCTCTTGCAGAGCGTCCCAAGGCCGGCCTTGCGCCTCTGCCAGGGCAGCATGCTTGCCCTCACCTGCGACCGCCAGGGCGGCAAGGCTCCGCTGCCGGCTGAAGAGGGCCACCGTGAGAAACCGCCAATATTCTAAAACCCGTCGGGTCTGCAGCGCTGTCTGAAACGACATGCTTGGTTCTCAGAAAGGATCGCGACAATCTACCCCGCAGCCTGAAGAACGGTGGGTGTAAGCACCTGGCCTGGCGAGGACAGCAGAGCAGGCGCCCTCTGCCCACCTGCTGTGGGTGACGGATGCGGGGATGGAGCAACCAACCAAGATGGGAGACAAGACTGGCCAGGCTCCAGCACAGCCCATCAGGCCATCAGGCCGACGGCCACGACCTGACAGCCATGCCAGCTCTCACGGCACTGGGCCGAGTAACTGACCAAGATCTGGGCACTGCGCTCTGCAGGAGGGAGGAGGCAGTGTGTGCCTGCAGCTCAGCGGGCCTGTCCCACTGTGTAGCGGTTTCACGGACGAGCTCCTGCCCGACACCTGCCCCCACCCACGCATGACGCAGCTTTGTGCTCCTCACCGGAGTTCCCGCTGCTGTGGTGTAGACAGAGCGAGAGAACCATGCAGGACTGCAGGATTGCAGCCAGCCTCCCCACGCCCCCTTTGTCACACACACGATAAAATGCCATGGCTGGCCCTGCAACCTAGTGGTTAACAGAGTTGGGCTCCACAGGCAAACAGCAGATCGAATCCCAGGCCCAGAGGCTTGAAAGACATGCTGGGCAAATGTGCCCAAATCCCAAAAGAACAGAGAAGGGATTATGGCGTGATCACATCTCATGGGGGGGTGCTTTTTCCTTTGTCTCTCTGGCACATGTCTTCCAGCAAATTAAAAAAAAAAAAATCCAGGTGAGATGCCAAAGTTGGATTGAGAAGCCCAGTCAGGGCCCACCACAGCCAGGGTCTGCAGGGCCTAGAGCACCTTCTGATTCCACTGCCCAAGCCCTGTGCTTAGTCCCTGCCAGGACTGAAGCACAGATACCACTGAGTTTACCATCTTGTAAGACTGCAAACAATACTGGGGCCAGCAGAGGCCATGGTGGTTGAGACGCTAGACTCCCATATGGCCAACTGTGGTTCAAGTCCTGGACCTGGTGGCCTGAAAATCAATATAAATAGACAAATAATTTAAAAAAAAAAAAAGTCCATAAACAATATCAATGAGTTGCCTATATAAAAACCAAACCAATTTCCCCAAAAGAAGAGGTTTTCTTTCCATTTTTGATTAATTTATTCCATTGTCCTGCTGTAGGAAGACCCACTCTGGGAAGACAGGGGCGTGATCAGCTGCCCCATGTGCATCTCCAGGGAAAGCACAGTACAGAGCACGGAACGTCAAGCCCCGACACTCCTCGCAGGGCTTGTCCCTCTTTGCCCCACAAGCAGCCCGCCCAGGAAGAAAGTACCCCGGACAGACTGCGGGCTGCTCTGCAGACGAGTGATGTCGTGATCGGCCCCGGAGACCCCGAGGTGCTGAGCACCAGTCCTCGCCTGTTTCAGACATGTCGCAGCTTGCCAGCTGCCCATCTGGTGACGACCGTCAAAAACACCCTTGACTGACCTCAGGCCTGCCCTGCCCTGCCCAGCCAGCTGCTCAGGCTTTGGTCAGGGTAGGAGCTCTAACTGCACACAGCACTCCAGAGACAGAGCCCACTCCAGAGACAGGGCCCACTCCAGAGTTAGGGGCCGGCTCCAGAAACAGGGGCCCGCTCCAGAGTCAGGGGCCCGCTCCAGAGTCGTGGGCCTGCTCCAGAGTCAGGGGCCCGCTCCAGAGATAGGGCCCGCTCCAGAGACAGGGCCCGCTCCAGAGACAGGGCCTGTTCCAGAGACAGGGCCCCGCTCCAGAGTCAGGGGTCTGCTCTAGAGTTAGGGACCCACTCCAGAGACAAGGTCCACTCCAGAGACAGGGCCCACTCCAGAGACAGCGGCCACTCCACAGTCAAAGCCCACTCCAGACGGAGCCCACTCCAGATAGAGCTGCTGCCTTGCCATCAGGGAGGCTGCGGTGACATCTCAGCTAGGACCAGGCAAGAAGACCCTCAAAGTAAAACAATGCACAAAGAATTCCAAACACAGGGTAAGTCGCGCACAGAAACATTTAGATTATTATGCAAACAAATGCTAAAAATTGCACCCACAGTCCTCGGTCCAGTCCCAGGGGACCCACAATTGCGTTCACGGATTCAGGATGGAGAGCCCAGACACACTACCCACCCGTGGCAGGGGGGCCCCCCCGCATGGGCCCAAGCCGGTCAGTTCTAGCCAAAGTCCACCTCTGCTTGTCCACGACCCCCCTTTCCCATGGTGAGCTGAGGACTAGATAAAGCAAAAACTACCAAAGAAAATGCCTCCCTCACCATGGTCGATGGCACCATCTGCCCAGGCAGCAGTAGCAGCTTCTGGTGCCACTTTCAAGAAAAAACAGAAACACAGCTACCCGTACCCAGGGTCTGGCCTTCCCTTCCCCAAGGCGTCCAGGGGCCCCGAGGCCACAGCGCCAGCTCGAGGAACAGCTAACAGCGTGGACTGGGCCGGGCGTGGCAGGAGGCTCACTCGAGGGCGGCCAGCTGCTCGATGGCACAGTGCACCTTCTGGGCCGTCTCTTCGAACTCTTTATGCTTGCTGCCGATTTCTTTAGCCTGGAAGGAGAACAGACGTGCGAAACTGAGGCGAGGGCTTCCGGACCGCACCCTGTGGGTACTGTGTACAAAGAAGGCAAGACGAGGGCACCTTGAGAGCGCCGAGACACACCGGGCACGCTTGGCAGACCCCGCAGCAGGGTGAGGCCTGTCGTTCGACTGACTCAAGCCACCTCCAATAATTTATTAAGAGAAGACAACGTGGGGCGCGTAGCGTGGACCAGGCCCTACGGCAGCGGCACCACGCTGACTGATGTCACTCACCGCGTCGCAGTGAGGGGCCACCACGAGCCTATGCATGGAGAAGGACGTGCGGCCCAGGGGATGTGCTCTGCTCCAGGCCACCCAGCTCCCTGGAGGCAGAGCTCGGCTGGGAACCGGCAGGACCACAGCCCGACTTGCTTCGGGAGGTCACAGGCAAAGGCCAGAGCCTCCTCGGAGCAGTTCAACAGGTCTGCCCAGGTAGCAGCTGTCCTCAGACAGAACTTTCGCCTTGCTTCCTGCCCGTCCCTGAATCTGGCTTCCAACCTGTCCATTCTGCCAAAAGCGCTCTCCCTTTCCCCACACCCGGTCTGCCTCTGGCGATCGCACGTGCCCCCAGGCAGTAAGAGAAAGAAACAGTGAAAGAAAGCAGTCTCTCCACCACCCGCCCTCTGCCCGGGGTGCCCACCTGGTCCTGGCTCCTGGCCGGGCACTCAGTGGGCAGGCTCTCCTGGCTGCTTTGTCTGCCTCCCTCCTCCCCAGACCCTGTCTCTTCGCGCTGTCCCCAGCGTGCATGAGCACGAAACTGACATTTCGGAACTGGACTGAGTCAGACTTTCATGTCTTCTTTCTCTCTTTTTAAAAAATAATATTGCCAGAGGGCGCATGAACTCCCTGGAGAGGGAGGGAAAGTGAGTACCCCTGTGGCACGTGGTCTCTCTCACACACACATGCACACAGCATGTCTTTGAAACTACCAGGTCCTGGACTTGAACCGTCACACCACGGAATTAGCCACGTGGGCCTCAGCTGCCGTAACCACCAGGCCACAGGTGGGTCCCAGGTGTTCCTGTCTGCAGACGCAGCACCTGTGCCTCGCATTTGCTTTCTTTCTTTTTTTTTTTTT